CTCTCGAGATGTGCTATAAGAATATGCAATGAAAAATGGGGTGTTCCATTTAAAAAAATTAATGTGACCTTGACCTGACCTTCGCTACGCAACCCAAGGTCAAACTGATGTGATCAGTAAATACATCTTTTTAAACGCCACAACTTTTGTCTGAAACATTTTTTTGTAAAACTTATATTTTTCCTGATATTCGGGCGTCCCGGTACTTTCCGAACACCCTGTATATACATATATATACATATATAATGTGTGTGTATGTATATAATTTAAAATTACATAAATTTTGTTGTAATTTTTACTAGCATATTTTTTTATGTAGAAAAGTAACGTCGTAAAAATAACAATTCAAATTCTTTTTATACCAGATTTAATTATGCATATATCAAATGTTGGATTATATTAATTATTATTAATATTTAATAATTACATGTTAGGTTGTTCCATTTCTGTGGAATTATAATGTGGAATTTAATGACTGATTGAGTATATTTTTGGAGCCAGAGAAAGATTTTTAGCAGTTCAAAAAGCTCTGAGTGAAAATGTCTGTAAAATGTCTTCTATTGTATTAAATAACATTCCACCACATAAATCGTCAATATTATGCAATTTTCATAAAACTGTTTTCTACTTTCAGACGAGAGAACGAGGGGATGGTTATTGGTTGACTCGCCAAAACCAACGTTAATGTACACGATACTGTATCTCCTAATTGTTTGGGCGGGTCCTAAGGCTATGAAGAAGCGGAAAGCTTTCCAATTAAGATGGACACTGGTGCTCTACAACCTTGCCATGGCCTGTCTCAATGCTTACATTGCCATTCAGGTCGGTATCACTTCCTCTGCCACACAAGAAAATATCTCGGGGAACATTTAGCGTTTTTACTTACTTCTATTTATCCACTTTCACTGGAAAGCGCGTTTCCGTCATCACTTCATTGATATTTATACTTGATGTTCTTTACAGTTGTTTGTAGCCTCTACAAGATTACGGTATAGTTATGTGTGTCAGCCAATAAGGCACATCACGCGTCCCGATGAACTTCAGGTGAGCGAACTTATTTTTCTTTTTTTTCATTGATAATGGAAAAAATTTAAAAGAATAATCTCTTTAGCAAACTTATCTTGTTCAAGTATGATCTACTCCTATGTTTAAGAGATTTTGGAAAACTCTAACGCGTGTTATGTTTAGATCGTCCACGCAGTTTGGTGGTACTACTTCAGCAAGCTTCTGGAATTCTGTGACACGTTCTTCTTCATTTTACGGAAGAAGGACAACCAATTGAGCTTCCTCCACGTCTACCACCACTCTACCATGTTTTCATTATGGTGGATCGGTATCAAATGGGTACCGAGTGGATCCAGTAAGTTTGCGAGCTTCTTTGTCATTTTTTCTTTCTTAAAAGAGTTGCTCTAAACGGCAAAAAAAATATTTCTTAAAATTTTTTTTTTTAATTTGTAAAAGGATATTGTTTCAAAGTTTTTGTCTATAATTGGAAAACGTATTAAATACAAAATAATATTTTTATTTTACAAAAATAGTTAATAATTTTTAATAACTTTTGTGATATCTATAAATGAGCGTAAGGTAAAAAGATCAGAATATTTTTACGACGTTAAAAGGTTTTCTTCCGTGGATTAAACCAGAATAAATAAAGAATTAATGTTATAATCTACTCTCAATGTTACGAAATATGGAAATTAAATAATTCTTTGAATTAACAAAATAATGACGTTTTAAAAACAGAAAACGATTTTTCTCTTAAAATAAGCTAAGAGAAACTACTAAATTAAAAAAATTATATTTATTTGTTTAATTATGATTATATTTGATGAATATTTGGTTAAAATATTTGGTATTAAAATATATAAATAAAAAATTGTTTGGTTGCTGTATACAAATATCTTTTTTATTTACATTTTGTATCTATAACTTTTGTCATAGCAATCAAAAAGCGTTAGCAAAATGAATAACAAATTTATTGTAACCTCTTAAATAATGAATTAATGGAAGGAAAGAACTTGTTTCAAGATGTAGTCAAACATATGAAAGTCGCGACATGTCTCGTTCGCGTGTGAAGAATGTTGGTCATTTTCTTTTACACGTGTATATGCGTTCGCAGCTTTCCTGCCTGCAATGGTAAACAGCTTTATCCACGTGCTGATGTATTCGTACTATGGACTCGCCGCGTTAGGTCCTTCAGTGACCAAGTACCTCTGGTGGAAGAAATACTTGACGATTCTCCAGCTCATTCAGTTCACTACTGCCTTAATTTTGGGCATTAACGGTATCCGATCGGGATGCGAATTCCCTATCTGGATGCAGTATGCTCTCGTAATCTACATGCTTTCCTTCATCGTCCTATTCGGAAATTTCTACGCCAAAGCTTACATCGCAAAGGTCAGTTCGAATTTTATTCCCGCGTATAAACGGCGTACGACGAGAAAAAATACTTGTATGTTTGTGGGATATAAAATTTATTTGTGTTCTGAAATAAAGTTTACTTCTGCGAAATAAATTTTTATCCCACAGATAAATTTTTATGTATACTTTTCCCTGTGTAAAGGCTCTTTTGCATAGAAAAAACATTAAGTTGAATTCATCAAATTTCTGGTGAAATATGAACAAACCAAAAATTCTGGTAAAAGTTAGAAAAATTCTGCTCAATTTGGCAAAACTTGAATAGAATTTTAACAGCTTTAATCGGAATTTCTGATTCGTTCATATTTTATTAGGAGTTTGATTAATCTAAACATTTGATTAATCTAATCAATTTTTTTTGTGTATATCTATTATAATGTGACTAGATTGTGATTAAGGTTTTCAATTTCCGGCTAAATTTACGTTGCCAAAAATATTCGAGGTTCAACATCGCACATCTCGAGATTTCGAGATTGCAAAATTCAATGCTTAGTATCTATATAATATATGAAATTTTTACTTTAATAATTATTTATTATTTCTGAGATTGTTTTCCCAAAATAAAAAGAAGGAATAAAAATTATTTTTATTTTTATTACAAAAGCTTCAATTTTTAGTTATGACATTTTTAACAAAGTTTATACTTTATTATTTCTGAGGTCGTTTTTCTGAAATGAAAAGAAGGAATGAAAATTATCTCTATTTTCATTTTTCACAAAAGCTTCAGATTTTAATTATAATGTTTTTTTTTTAACAAAGTCATGTATCAGTATTTTAATATAAGTTGTTTTTTTCTATTTTTACTGAAATTTTATTTTTTGTTTTTAATGATATTCATAAAACTATGAATGTCCTATAAATAAAATAATTCTATCATTCTATAAATATTATTTGTATTTTTTTATATGTATATAATTCCAGAACTAGTCTCATGATTCCGGGATCGAATCTAAAATATCCCGAAATCCCGGGATTCTAAATTATACCTGAGATTGGAAAATCTAGTCGTAACACTTGTTGTGATGACGAATGTAAACTCATAATGCGAATTTCTTTGTAATTAAATTGCATTAATAAAAAATCGTAATTCTTAGTTTCAAAACGATTTGAACACTTCTCCTCGAAGCATTCGGAACACAACTTGGTGCTCCAATAAAAGGATTAATTTCGGGAAATAATCGAAGATAAATACATTGTCACAATGAACCCAATTATATCAGTTTATAATTGCCGTTCTTATTTTTGCAGGGTAAACAAGTATACGCGGAGAAGCGGCTGGAGAGGATAAGGGCTGCCACTGAAGCAGCGGCATTGAATGCGAAGGACGACAGCACGCTCAGCAATGGAATTGTTACAAACGGATACACGAATGGTTACACGAACGGAGTGTCTAAGAAGAGTCAATGAGGCCCTCTCTGATGAGTCTCTCCGTCGACGTTAGCCCGATGTAAACGACACTCGCGCAACGCAGAACAAAAAAAAAAATAGTCACGGACATTAGTAACAGATATATAATTGACGTCAAAGATTGCGTCGCGATCGATAGCGACGAACGTCGAGAGGTAGTTCACCGTAAGACGAGAGAAAACAACAAGGAGACAAAAAAGGAAGAATAAAAGAAAGAAGGAAGGGAAACAACAACAATAATGGGAACGAGAAATAGAATATCGTTTAGACCACTCGGCGTACTACACTTGCTTGCGAAACGATTTGAATAAATTGATATATTAGTTCACAGACGTGTCAAATACGAATAACAAGACTTTTCAGGGAAAACCTTTGAATGTTTATAACTTTGTAATAGAAAACGTATAGACCACGTTTTTAAATAGAAGTCACTTGACATATCTGTGAACTAAGTATTGATGTTTCGATAATGTTTGATTTGTTTCCAATGAAATTAGAATGACATGAAATGTTACAATTACGAGGCACTGCTTACAGGCTTGCGTAAGCGGTTATGACAGTAGCCGAAGTGACAGTGCACGGTGCAAATATTTGTCATATCCTTATTTGATAGGAATGAAATGAAGATAAGATAACTATGCTTAAAAGATTTGATGAAATTACATAAGAAACATCTAGGCAACTGAATTGTGTTTTTGATCAAAAATGCTCAAATTGTATAGAAAGATTAATGTATTTAAATAAATATTTAATCGTTAAAAATGAGTTACGCGATATAAAATGAAAAAAATTTATAACTTTTTTACGTGAGCTAAAAAGTGAGAAACTGAAATTTCCGACAGATATGATGTTCAGATAAAGTCATTTATTATTCCAATGAAATTTCTATATATTTCTATCGATCTTTATCGATTTTTTAAATAGACCACACTTGCTGGATACTTTAGCATCCCTCTTAGTTATTGGCACTCTAAAACCCAGTTTTTCTTGCGATCATCAATGTCTATTTACAGTTTTAGTGAAAATCTCTTTTGGAATCATAGAATGCACTATAATACCAAAACAGCTTTTCTAAAGTGCTATTGATTAAGAGAGACATCAATAATTGTATGGTTTATTTCATTTATGCTTTTCCTGAATCCTCTGCAGATATGATTGTCGGATATATCATCTATTGGCTACGTTCAGCGAACACGATTGATTGCTCGGCTTTTAGAAAATGTGATAGCTGATTCTAAGAATATACATCAATTACAGTTAAGTTTTACTCAATCGTTGTGTTCGCTGAACGCAATTTTTATCACTTCGGCTTCTATCTAACAAATCCTCCATAATGGATTACCGCGCAGACTCATAAGTAGTGGCTCGTAATCATGATTATTTAACGAGCTTCTATCATCATCGAAGAAAAATGTGTTCAAACAGTTTGGCAAACTGATGTACACGTCGGGTTTACGCTGGCTGAAACAAATCGCGAACGTCGCGTTCGATATCGGGATGACGTAATCGATCCAAGGATCGATGTAAAAGGAGAAACCGGATGATCGTCGACATAATCCTAAGCTTATCGATCTGCGTTTCATCCTATTATCGGCTCCAACGACTGTACATCCGCTGTACATCACCACGCTGATTCCAGCGACTGTACATATTAACGAATGAAAGGTAGTTTAGACTTGAGTACATTTCGTAGTGAATAGCGCGGCGACGTCTGCAGGACCGATTCGCGTATTTCGGGCTTTGAAGCGGAAATTTTCGCGACTGACCAATTTAAGAAACACATTTTACACTAAATCCCGTTTTATACCAAGTCCTGTTTCGCCGTTTGTCCCAATAATGAAACTTGGTAGATTGAGAGAACTTAAAAGGGAAAGTTAGAGATTTCCCTAAAAAAGTGGACCTTATAGAACAAGACCCGAAGTACTTTGGAAATGATCCTGCGAGTCTACCGATTTAAATTGGATGGATACAAAGCAAAAACTATTAACGAAAGATCGTCTTTCCTTTTTATTTACCGTATTAAGATCGGAATTACATTCACTTTATCTAAAAGGATAAAACGTCCTGCTCGATAAGAGAGAGATAGGGTAGAGAGAGAGGGAGCAGAGAGAGAGAACCAATCGCAATATATCTGATAACATTAAATTGTTCGCAATAAGGCACGTTTTTCTGTTATGCACATGTTTGAAAATCGATTTAGTTAACCTGTCGTTCGAAAAGTGAGGTCTGAGAGATCCCATAAGATATTTCATATCATTTTCTTTGAATCTTTGTAATATCTTCCGAATTTTTTTTTTGTTAGCTGTTATTGAATCTTAATATTCCAATTATGGGAGATATATATTATAAGATTTGAAAAATTATGAAAATATAATTAAGAAAAACGAAGAAAAATCTACCAGATCATCTTTTCAATGACGGGTTAAATCTCGCGAGTGTTATTACGCTGTGTTATGTCGAATAATTTTACGCGTACTAATGTTTAAGGACCGATCTTTCAATGGAAATTTAAATTCAAACTTAAAACTCCTGATTACTCATCTTTATTCATTACGCGTTTAATTGATAATTAATATAAGCCAATTTAATTAGAGACAGTTTAATTGACAATTGACTTCAACAAATTCAATTGAAGACCGTTCAATTGACGATTGATGTGACTGGAAGGAATGAAAGATCGTTCAAACAACGACTGAACTTAGCAAATTTAATTAAAGGCCGTTTAATTGATAATTGAGTTTAGTGGATTTAATTAAAGGTCGTTCAATTGGCGATAGATACGAACCAATTCAATCGATTCAATCAAAGATTGTTCACGGACGATTGATACAATCAGTGGCCCCATCGACGCGGGTTTTACTTAACGCTTTATCATCATCTTTCACGATATGCTTCGATGCCCCGGATTATGAATATTATTCATAAGACCAACTGTAACCTTGGGTAATCAAACGCTTTTGGATTGAATCGATTGAATTTGCTTACATCATACGTTCTTTCACTAAATTTGTTAAGTACAATTGTCAATTGAATGATCTTTAATTGAATTTGTTGAAATCAAACGGCAATTAAACATTCTTCGATCAATTTTGTTCAGTCCTCTAGTTAAATTGAAATATGTCTATTTAAATAAATTATTAAATCGAGGAAAAATTTAATCAATATTTTTATAATCCTGGTTTAAAATATTATTGAAAAATCGGCCCTAAAAGTCACAATCGGAATCAGCCTATGCATAAATACTTTTCAATCAATTTGCTCACAGCAACGAGAGATCG